ACAGGTACAAGGATGGAGCACCTGTCATGTTCGAAGTGGGGCTCTCGCCTTAGCTTGCAGTAGTGTCACGGATGGAAGACGGGTCATTTTCAACATGGAGTTTTCGCCCAAACGCAGCGCGCATTCGCTGTAAAACCTTGCGACAGCTACTGGGATGGAGGGCTGTTCCGTTTGATACTTTCGCTTTCGCCGTAACGTTGCGCATATTCGTATTCAAAGTTTGCACCAGCTACATTGATGCAGCGCGGTTCCTATTGCAGGCTAGCAAACTTTAGCTTTCGCCTTAGACTGGGTGCTTTCGTCTTACGCTTGCAAGTGTCACGATGATGGACGACGGAGGTCATGAAAGCAAGCAGTTGAGAACATGTCCCCCCCTTCCCCCGTCCTGGGGGCCCCAAAATAAATGAGTGGGGCAGACTAGTAGAATTCAGCCGCCAAAAACTGTTTTTTTAATCATCCGCCCTCCTGGCGTTCAATCTCGCCGCCTTGCGGAAACTGATTGGATTCGTCCTCCTGCGCTCGTTTCATCACCCGCGCCCCCACGGGGGGGGGGGTGGGCGGAGAGGGGTCTCTGGAAGCGCCGCTCGGGAGTCCCAGCGCAGATGCCTATGTTTCCCTATCTGCCGTCCGTTCCGCATAAGGAAACAACAGGTTTCAGTAGGTAAGCGAGGAGTGCATCAAGGGAGAGACGGGAGTAGTATTCACATTGAAAGCCTGGAGGAACAATACTTTGCAGGGGAAATGTGAAAATGGATGGAAGAGCGAGGGTAAGGATGATGATAATGATGATGCTGATGATGATGATGATGATGATGATGATGATGATGATGCTGGTGATGATGATGATGATGATGATGATGATGATGATGATGATGATGATGATGATTATCCCAGTGCGACCCTACCTAGGAGATGGAGCATTTAGGAAAGCAACATCTACATCTACACCGACAGCTACATGTACATCTACACCTGCATCTACATCTACATCAACATCAAGAGCGAGACTCACATCTACATCTACATTTGCACTTATATCTGCACCTACATCTACATCTACAGCTAAATCGACACCTACATCCACATCTACACCTACACGTACATCTACACCTACATATATACTATCGCATTGGTTTTGTTTTTGTTTTGCATTGCCTTTGCTTTTGCTCTTGCCTTTGTGTTTGCCTTTGCTGTTGTTTTTGCTGTTGATTTTGCTTTGCTTTCGTTTTTGCTTTTGCTTGATTTTGTTTTTGCTTTGCCTGCGCACCGACACACACACGCATGTTTTCGCGTTCGTTCACCTGGTGTGCTTGAGAATGCTCCGCATCCGGTCTACACCGCACGACTTGGCATTGAGCAGGGTTGTGCAACACCTGCTACACCGAGCGTTCTTACGAAAGTGTACAGCAGCAGCAACTTCCCGATCGGTGCATCATCGGCGCTGGAATATGCGGTTTCACCAGATTGGTGTGACCACAACCTCCCCGCTGTCGTGGAGTCGCCGGAGCCACTCTTGGCGCGCAGGGATTGTGTCGAATAACCAGTAGTACACATATCGCCGTGACTGGTTCCTCTTCCGCAACTCGCAGATCTTGTAGCAGAAACGCTGCAAGTTAACAATCGGCCGTCGCATTTGATCAGGGATGTGCTCGCAGCCGGTTTGCAAGAGGCGGCCACCGAAGTCGCTGTGATGCAGAATGCAAGCAAACACTTCATTCGCTCTGCAGCTCTGGTAGTAGCACTGATCCCAAGCGTTCCTCCGCATATCAACAGCGCTCTCTGGCACGATGCGCTCTCCGTTGAAGAGCAAGGCGTTGATGATTTTGCCTCCGCCCCAGGCTGTCGACCAGGACGTTCGCAGCAAGAGTTCCGCGTGATCACCCCACTGAACCGGGAGTAGTTTCATAGTCATGAGCAAGTAGAAGGGTCGATGGAACGCGGTGATCTGGTACTTCGCGCACAAGTTCTGCAGCATTCTCCCTGGTCCAGGGTGTGCAACGCTAGGACCCGCGGTAGTGGTGTCGACGAGTTTTCCTGGCAGTGGTGCTGGCACGGATGCTGCTGCTGAGCCAGGTTGAACAACATTGGCACTGGGGTCGGCAGCTGCAATGATGGCCGTGACTCGCGGTGGGGCAGGCTGTGCAGCACTGGCCTCGCTCTCTGTGAGTCCGAGTGACATCGAATCATCAATCGCCGGCGCCGCTGGTGAGAGACTGTTGGTGGCGGGGCGCGCGGTTGATATGCGCCGCTGTTTACTCTGGTGGACCGGCTGCGCAGCGCGGGTCTTCTCGCGCGAGCCCGGCAGGGCTACGCGGTACTTTTCAAAAACCTGATGCAATTGCTTCTCGGGCTGGCCAGTGCACTCCGCGACCGCGGTCTCTGTTGCCTGAGCAGTGGTGCCGCGCCATGGCCCCCGCCGGCACGTCCGCTGCATGGCCGCTCCCTGATGCCATTGGCCCGAGCTATCTACAGGCCGTTCTTGGTAGTCTCTGCCGGCAAATGCTTCTGCACAACGCAGTAGTTTCTGTCCGACCTCTGAGGCGCAAGCTCGGGCTGCATTTCGCATCGCGGTTGATATGAATACCTCGCATGCAAAGCAAATCAGAGGCATCGCCGCCCTGGTATAGCTTTCAACAAGACACTGCAACACCGGTGCTGGTAGGTGGCGCGTTTGTAATGTTAGCGGCGCGTCAATAGGGCGCGTGCGCGCGCGCAGCCAGCATTTGCTCAGCGCGGCAGGTTGTTCAACTCTGCTGGCTGACATAGCAGGCTGTTCAACTCCGCTGGCAGACAGGGCAGGTTTTTCCATTCAGCTGGAAGACACCTTGCAACTCCATGGCCCCGCGGCCGGCACTATTGGCCATTTGGGTCAGCGATGAGGCTGATCACGTCTAGCGCTTGCGGCAAAATGGCACCGGAACCCGGAGGGACATAGAACCCAGAAGAGACACGGGGGGGACACGCCCCCCGCCTAAACCGCGCAGGGCCCCCTGTGGCCCCGAAACGAATTTCGAACGCAACATGCACAATCGGATGGGGGGCTGGCGGGGGATGCGGAGCGAAGCGCATCTTTGGTTTCGGCCACTGCATTTTGTCATGCCGCAATGCTCTGTCATGCCGAAGCGATCGCCATCCAGCGATCGCGGGCTGTTCCCCCGGCTGTCGAGGAGGGCTTCTGGGCGTTCGTTGTGCTCCTCGCGGCTGAGTTCGGCCTTCAGGACATGCATTTCATCAGTCGCACAACGCGGGGCACGTGGCACTCGCGCCATGCCCGCCTGGGGGGGGCAGAGGCGTGGGTCGCCAGGTTGATCCGGAGCACAGGCTTGCTCGAGATGGGGATGCCCGAGGCGGGCGTCCATTTGACGTTTGAGAAGAGCGGGCGGGATGGTAAGGCGTTGCTTCTCGGGACTTGCAGCTGACCCACATGATCGACAACGATCTCGAGTGCTTGTGGAGTGTCTTGAACGACCGAGCTGGCAACTCGGGCCTGTCGATGAGGACATGAGCGTGAGCGGCTGTGTGGCAGGGCCTCCGGGCTTGAGCCGAAATGGCTACGGAAGGCACTGCTTGCGGGGGCTCCGTCCGGCCATCGAGGCTAGCTCGGCATCTGTCGCACATTGCTTTTGCTCTGCCTTTCCTTTGCTTTGCTTTTGCTTTCGCATTGATTTGCTTTGCGTTGCTTGTGCTTTGATTTGCTGTTGCTGCTGTTGATTTGCCTTTGCTTTGCTGCAATGCTATGCTATGCTTATGCTATATTGCGCTATGCTATGCTATGCTATGCTATGCTATGCTATGCTGCGCTAGGCAATGCTACGCTAGGCTGCGCTATGTTATGCTAGGCTATGGTATGCTATGTAATGCTGCGCTATGCTATGCTGCGCTGTGCTATGCTGCGCTATGCTATGCTGTGCTATGCTATGCTATGTTATGCTGCGCTATGTCGTGCTATGCTATGCCGGGCTATGATATGCGAAGCTAAGCTAAGCTAAGCTAAGCTAAGCTAAGCTAAGCTACAGCTATGCAAAGCTAAGATGAAGCTAAGCTAAACTAAGCAGAGATACGCAAGACCAAGGCAAGGGGGCGCAACTGGGGGAACCGCGGGGCGGGGACCGGGGGAACTGCCCGGGGCGAGGAACACTGCCCGGCCCCTTTAAGCTAATAGAGTAAGAACCCTCTAGGCAGAGCCTAGGGACTGAATGATGATGATGATGATGATGATGGTGATGATGATGATGATGATGATGATGTTGATGATGCTGATGATGATGATGATCATGCTGGTGATGATGATGATGAGGAGGAGGAGGATCATAGGAAAAACTGAGAGAGGATGTTGCTGTCTGGAGGCGGCGGAAAATGTCTGCTTTCCACGCCGGGCTGGCGGTTCAAAAATTTCAACTTCACATTCAGGGCCGGCCAAAAGCAACTCCCGCGGCCTCGAACTCTTCGCCCCTGAGAATCCGAATCGTCAGCCCGCGAAGTCCTTCCCAGCTTTTCCTTCCCCGGCTCTGAATTGACCCTCCGCCCCCCCGCCCTGAATTGTCAGCCCGCGCCCCCCCCCCCCGGGGCTTCCAAAAAACCCGGGATTGTCCGCCCTCCGTATGCCTGTTCCGCCCCCCCGCCCTGAATTGTCAGCCTGCGCCCCCCCCTCCCCCTGTTCTGGGCCTCCAAAGACCCAGGATTGTCCGCCTTCCGCATGTTTGTTCCGCCCCTCCGCTATTGCGGCGGCGCGAAAGCCCGCTAAACTATGTGTGTGTAATCGTCCGCCCCTGAAAGTGTTTCAATCGTGTGCCGCCATTTGCACTTGCACGGATTGAGGTCGGTTCTTTTCGAAATTTGGGGTGTCGTTCGGAATGTCTTCAGCGTGCGCATCATTTACACGGATGGGGGGGCCTTGGTTTTGCAAAGTGGGGTCACGCGAAGTACCCCGACACACACACACACACACACACACACACACACACACACACACACACACACACACACACACACATTTATAGTTATATACACATAGATTTCGACATTTTGCTTACTATGTAAATGGCTTGCAAGTGTGCTCCTTTTCATAATAGGGCGTCCGCTGTAACGGCAGGCCTATAAAAAGGTTCTGGTCTTCCACGGGTGCAAGGGTGCGTTTTGTTGTAATAAAATTATAGTTTCGGGGTTCTTGTGGGGGTAATTTGGGACGGGAGGGTGGCTTGCAACATCGAACACTGGGTCTACTCAGTTCGCCGTCCTGATTGTCGTTGTCGCCATTATTATGCTTATGATGTTGCTGCTCCTCTTCATGCGGGTTCTTTTTGTGGCGGTGAGAGATCAGCTTATTGATGATGCTGTGAATCGTCTTCAGAGTAGAACCGCCGTCCCCATCCTGATATACAGAGATGGAGAGCATTATTTTCAGTGTTTCAGGTGCTTCCCTCGAGTTCGAATCAAGTCCTGAAGCATTATTGAGGCGAATTGCTAGAGTTCAGACCCTCACCACTGACCTCCCCCTCGCTCCCGTTGAGTCCTCCTTGCCCTTCCTGCTCGTGGCTCTTTTCCCCCCGAATCCCACGGACCACCAGACAGCCGACCAAACTCATCGGATGGCGACCTCATGACTCGCCCCTGTTTGCTGAGTTGGGCACTGGTGCCTTAGGAGGGCGTTCCAGGCTTCCCCGACGGGCCGTTCCTCTTTAAGCCAGAGGGGGGGACCCCCAGCGAAGCCGCTGGTAATGCGCAACATGGAGCCATTTTGTCCATACAATCTTGGTCGCTCCGAGGTGATCACTTTCCCCCCAGGGTCCCAAGACACCGAACTCTGTCTCGTAAGCGGTCTTGTCTTGTTGTCCTCCTCCTCGCCCTCCACATTATCGTCGTCAGCATCGGCGTCGCCATCCTCCTGCCACTGCCCCAGACCCCCGGCGTCATGATTTTTTCATGACTTGGACCTTCCGAGGTCTAGACCCATTCCCCAGGACCGGCTTGTCATCCTGAGCTGTGTTTGACGGTCCCCGGGCATGGCCAGGGCCACCTGAGGCCGACAGTTGCCAACACTCCCCCGTCGTGATTGGTTCATGACCCAGGGGGGTCTGGGGCTGCTCCTGCTGCGGCAGTGTCGGCCTGCCCTACGACGACGAAAACGACGACGACGATGACGACGGGCGGCGGCGGCGGCGAAGGCGACGACGACGACGAAGACGACAACGACGGCGACGACGAAGACGGCGACGACGACGACGACAACAGCGGCTGCTTCTGCTGCCGCCGCTCCACATTCACTGTCTCTTCTGCGGCAGTGCCGGCCTTCACCCCCTCCTGGCGTCAGATCGCGCTCCTGACGTCGGAGCCGCGCAAGGCCACGCTCCGGGCCACCGAAGGAGGCCGTGGACCCGCCGCCGTGGCAAGCCAGGAGAGGAGAGGAGCGGGGAGAGGAGCGACACGGCCAAAGTGGCGTCCCTCAGGGGCAACGTCAGGGGGGCTCCCGAGGTTCGGGGTTCGAAGTTTTTGGGGGGGGATTCGAGGTTCGAGGTTCGAGCTGTTTTGCGATTTTCTGGCGCTTTCGTCGGTTCTCAGCGGTCTTCCAGCCTCTGGGTGCCTTCCAGTGGCCGCGCCTCGCCGAGAGCGTTCCGGGGTTGCCCCGATCGTCCCGGAAGGCAGCCGGAGGCACTTCTCAGTAGCTTTCGCGCCTTCTGAGAAGCTGCCTGGGTCCTCGGGGAAAGCTTAGAATCGACCAAACACCAAACGACACCACCCCACCTACTGCCCTCCATGTTGCGCTACGGCCCGTCGGGCGCCATAGCGTACACCACGCAAAAATCCACGCCAGATTTTCCTGGTATACGCTTAGCCACTAAGCCACCTGGGGCCGTGGGTGGGGTGGTGTCGTTTGTTTTCTGGTCCATAGAAAGCTCCTCAGAAGGCCCAGGGACTTCCGAGCCTTAGGAATCTCGCCCCTTCTCACTTCCCCCACGGGCTCGCCGCCGAGATGCGCTCAGGGGGGGATGCATTGACCCCAAATCGCCCATTGATCGCCGACAAGGGCCTGATACCCCACCCCGCCCAGGAGCGCGCGGAATCCTTCGGGGAAGCAGGTTCCTGCCCATTTTGAACAGGACTCGTTGTCGGTGTCGTCGCGGACCTTACCTATTCATTTGAGACAGAAGGTCGCCTGCCCGGCAGCGATTGGCGTCGGTTTTGGACAACATCTGCTGTTGGGCACTTTACACGTTTTTGCTGTACCCAACTTGGGCGTGCCAGGAGGAATGTAGAGCGGGTGCTGCTGCTGCTCCCCCCATCCTCCTCCCCTTGTTCCGCCCGCTGCTGCTGCCGCTGCTGCTGCTGCTGCTGCTGCTGCTGCTGCTGCTCCCCTATCCTGGTCGCATCATCCCTGCCTTTCCACCCCCCTCCCCTTGCTCCCCCGCCTCGTCACTCCCTTCCCGTCCCGCCCCCCCCCCGCCTTGCCCAGCCTCCTCCGCTCCCTCTCCGCTCCCCCTCCCCCGCCCGTGCCCGCGTTGTGGCAGCTGCCCCGGCCTCGGGAGGCGAGGCAGGCCGTGGGCCTGTCGAGCTGCGCAGCCACCCGGTGCTTCCTTGCGGAGCCGGCTTCCGTTGTGGCGGCGCCGGGAGCGAGCCTCCACTTGCGCGGTGCGATGCCTTCTCCTCCTCCTCCTCCTCGCTTCTCCTCCTCGCTTCTCCTCCTCCTCCTCCTCCTCCTCCTCCTCCTCTTCCTCCTCCTCCTCCTCCTCCTCGCTTCTCCTCGCTTCTCCTCCTCCTCCTCGCTTCTCCTCGCTTCTCCTCCTCCTCCTCCTCCTCCTCCTCCTCCTCCTCCGCCTCCTCCTCCGCCTCGGCCGCGCCAGTGCGTTTTCACTGCGCTCCAGCCGCACGCGCGGTGTCGTCGCGAGGGTCGGCCCCCGACACCTTGCCGGGCCGTGCCGTCCGCCGATTCGCCGCCCGGCCACGGGCTTGCGTCCCGGGCGCGAGGGGGCCTCGGGCTTCGGTCTGCGCGGCGATCCTCGCGAGGGCGGCAGGGGAGGCCGTTCCGTTCCCCTCCGCGGGTTTGTGGAACGTGCCGCGCCACAGGGGCAGCACAGCGTGAGTGATGTGCGACATGTTCATCTTACCTGGCGGGCCGTCCAGGGCTGGGGCCAGCCCCGCCGAGCGCCTCCTGCTCACCGCGGACGTTGCCACTGACCCCACTCTGTACTGCGGAGGACGCAGCTGTTGCTTGGAAGCCGCCTCTGCGGCTTCCGTGTGTGGTGCACGTCGTGCGCAGAAGTATTTTGCAGGCCAGCCGCCGCTGGTCCAAGTCGCTGCAATGCCGCAGCTTCAAGGTACATTTCGGGCAGGTAGTGCTCACCTCCCTAACCTTTCCTCCTCGATAATCTTTCCTATTTGGTCCATCCTTCCCCCCTGTTCCTTCCCTGGATTCCTGCCCTTGTATGTACGCATCTCCATCGTACGCCTTCTGCTGCTTCCCCTCTTCCCTTCTGGATCTTCCGTAGCGATTCAGCGAGCCGGCCACCGGGGGGGGGGAGGGCGCTCGGTGCGGCGTGCGGCGTGCATCTGCCGTGGTCTTGGCATCGCTCGGACGTGTGCATTTTTTCTCGTCGAGGGCCATCGAGGAGCAGACTGGGTCCTCCTGCGAACAGATAGTTAACACGCCCGAAGCCGAGACATGCCCGGGGAATGGACGTCCGAGCGATGGCGAGTGGTGCCATGGTTGATGGCCGTGGATCGTTGCCTTCGGCTGCCAGGCAGCGGGCGGCGGCCCGTGAGAGCACCCTCATCCGGCGGCGCCGCCGAGAATGCCACAGGCAGGAGCGGGGCCTCCGGGGCGCAACAGCCGCAGCGCCGTGCTGAAGGCCTCGGGGTCGGCTTGGCAGCCCACTGGGCTTAAGTCGGGCATGCAGTTCTAATGGAGGAATGCTCAAAAATAGTCAGAGAATGCTGTGGGATGATGTTTTGACGATTTTTGTTATTTTTCATTTTTGTTAGGTCATGTTTCATTTGTCCTCCAACATTCGCCTTCAGCAGGACACGCCCGACCTAACACTGGGCCCTGTGCGACGAGCTTGGGGCGCCTTTCCCCGTGTTGGGTGACGCCCTCGCCGCCGCCGGCTTGGTGAAGTGCAGGAAGACGATCGCTGGCAGCAGAGGCCTGCGCAGGCGATGGTTGGGCTCGGCATGCGCCGCCGAGTGGGCCTTTGCGTGCTCTCCGAGATGCCGTTTGGCGCAGCAGGGTAGGACCTCGATCAGATCGGGACTCGGCTCATCTTCTGCTGCGCGAGCGGGGCTTGCCGCGAAGCTGATGTGGGGCCGATTGAGGGCCTCTTGGGCACTTTTGGGGGCTTCTTGGGCGCCCCTGAGGGCTTTTGAGGGCCTCTTGTCGATGTCCTTGGTCAATTTTCGCACAAGGGGGGCCTGGGACTCCTTGCGTTCCCCCTTTCTGGGTTCGAACCCTTCCCAATCATGACTGCGCATTTCTATGCTTTGGGGCTTCTGGAAGAGCCATGTGGGAAGCACCAACGGTCACGAGAGCGCCCAATGATATATGGGAGTCGGGGCTCTGCGTGCTTGGGCAAGTGTTTCCAAGCATCCAATTCACAGGACTCGAAGGGACCAGTGGGCATTCCACTCACTGCCCTGCGGCACGGCTGCGGCCTTCTGGGAGGCTTCCAGCTAAAGTGTTCATGTTCTGGGCATTTAGGTTGGTGCGGATGTTTAAGACGGTTCCAGTTGAGTGGCATCCGCGCGTGTGTAAAGTTGTGCCGAAGAAGCTCTGGGCACGTAATGAGATCCCCCACATCAGTTCGGGTACTTTTCTCGTTGCGCGCCCCATTTCCTTGGTCTGGGGTCTGGGTGCTTTGATCATCGGTCGTCAGGCGATCCTTTCTGGCACTCTTTCTTCCTTTGGCTGTCATGGTTGCCTCTTTGGGCTTGCTGTATCCACGTCGGAGCTCGGTTGTGCGGCTCCTTCTCTGTCACAGCGCATCGTTTGCCCCATGAAGCCTAGCAAGCCTTGTCGGCGTCGCCCCCGGTGATTCGAACATGCCGAGCACGAGTTGTACTTGCTCTTTAGAATTGTCTGGCCTCGGGGGTAGGTGTCAGGAGGTG